CTGTCTGTTTCCTTTCGCGCAGCACAAAACTGAACCAAAACTCTGCATAGTAGGCTACTTATTGCACAGTTTTTCTTTCATTTTCTTAATTTATTATTTAAGTAAAGATATATTTCTTGTATAGGTCTATTTATTCGTTTTTTATATATATATATATATATATAGCCTAGCTTTATTATGTTTTTCTCCGCTGGCAGAAGCGCTGCAGGTGCGTGATGTGATGCATGTGAATCCTCTTGTTCTGTTGTTTGCTGCATTTTTCGGATGTAAAATTAATCCCCGGGAAACAAATGTTAATATTTTTAATGGGTCACAGACACTTATCCTTTCTAATTTAATTCAATTCTAATTTAAAATAATCTTGTCGGTTAACGGTTAATAAATCGGTTAATGAGCGTCGGTTAGGAAAAATAACCGAAAGGAACATCCCTAATAGCAAAACAAACTGTTAATCCACTTTTTTGTTCAGTATTGTTTTAAATAGGACAAGGACAAGCAAGACTTAGATAAGTAATAAACTGCATTTCTAAATCAGTAAAACTGCAAATATTGTGTTAAATAAAGGCTTATGATGCAAATGGTAATTTGTGCCCCTTCGCATTTTATGTGGTTTAATTCCGACCCGCTTGGCCTCTGAACTTGAGTACCCCTTGTTTAAAGTATGTTTACACCAAGATCAATGAAAACTGCTTTAAATTTGGCATAAAACACTTTTACCATATCTATTTTGTAAGTGCATGTTACAGATGTTATTGTGAACAATTTATTTATGCATATGTTATTTATTTATTTATTTATTATTTTTTATTTACCTTGTGATGTTTAATCAAAATGTCATTACTGGACCTTGCAGTGAAAATGACAGACTTCTATCTGGTGACGTATGTGAGACTTCTCCAGTTATTTAGTTTGTTTAAACTCCACCCCTGCAAGCTTGCATTCTTTAGTTTTTATTCCGATAATCCATTACAATCGAATGTCTGTAGCACAGTAATGAGGCAGCAACATATGATAGATAAGACAACAAGAAAGGCTATTAATAATCTTTCATTGAGCAAAAGTATTATAACATGATGAAAGGCTCCTATACAGAGCGGCACAAAGCACTTATGCACATCCCGTGTGCAGAATGGTGCGCTTGAAGCAACATGGAGTCACAGCGCTGCGCTACGCATAGAAAAGTTCAAAGCACAAAGGGAAGATGATTTTGATGCGTAGTGTATTATATCTGTGCGATAGTTTGAGCCTTTTCTTTTAACAGTTTTAAATTTCAGTTACTGTGCGCATGAAGAACAATTCATAGTGCTCTCTACTCCATGATCTAACAGACATCCGGTAGAATGTAACATTGACCGTGCGTTCACCGCCGCCGTCGAGAGCGTCAAAGTGACCGGAAGTCATAGATCTTCAATGTGAGCCGGCGTCGAGCAGCGGCGCAGCGCGACTTGGACGTTGAGGGCGTCCAGGAGAGTTGAAATCAGGTCAAATTTATAGTAATGAGCTATGACGCGGTTCGGCGGCAACCAATCGGAACGTAGAAGTCCACCGCTTGAGAGGATTCCAGAGAACGCAGTCCTGTAAACTTTGGTTCCGACCACATTAGTTCCCAAGCAAAATGGAGGAGAGGTTGATTATTGCTGTGGCGGGTTTCCCAATAATCTATGACGTGTCCCTGTTTGCGTACAGGGACATAAAAAAAAATGATGCGTGGACCAAGGTGTCTGAGATTGTTGGTGTTGCTGGTGAGTTACTGATGTGCATTAACGTTATAGGAATAATAATCTAATGATATAATAAATAATAGTATAATAGTCCTGCACAAGATCAACAAGCGTGTTTGCTTTGCGACCCCTTTAAATACAAGATAAGCATTCAATCTACGTCAGAGCATCCACGAATCTTTCCACAGCGTTATTGGCAGGGCGGCCAGAGTGATTTTTGACGCTCTCGACGGCGGTGGTGTGAACGCACAGTAACATGATTTAGAAACAGCACTAAACTAAACTTTTATGCAAAACCACTGATCTTTATCTACAGATCAAGTATAATAATAGGAACAGTGAATCATCTTGGATAGATTTTCATCATCTTGACTGTCATAACCGAACGCGACGCACAGTTTGAATGCTGAATGGAGGATGACAGACAGCTGCAGCTGAATGGAGGATGACAGACAGAGAAGAGTTTAAGTGAACTTGAATTTAACGACTTAAATATTCATCTGTACCTATGGAACGTTCTCGGAACACTTGAAATATAGTGCAAGGAGACTTTATGGTGCTTTATAATGATTTTGTGCCTTTCGTGGGGCTTAACAATAACACAGAATAGTATACGCACAATATCGGATTT